GCTTCGAAAGGAGCCATATCAATACTTGAGTGATAGCTATTATGGTATGAAAACTACACTAAGGGTAAGAATCTATCCCAATGGCCACCAAATTCTATCACACATGCACGAAGCATATCCTCCAACACTTGAATCGTTCGCTCAGACTGACCATCGCTCTGAGGATGGAACGCAGTACTAAGGTCCAACCTAGTACCCGATTCCGCATGCAATGTTTTATAAAACATAGAAGTAAACTGCGTACCTCTATCTGATATAATGGAGAGTGGAACCCCATGCAATCGCACCACTTCCGAGATGTAAAGTTTGGCTAACTTCTCTTCATTGTAAGTCACCTTGACCGGAATGAAGTGAGCAGACTTAGTTAATCTGTCAACAATTACCCAAATGGAGTCATACTTACCCATTGTCTTTGGAAGACCAACCACGAAGTCCATCACAATCCTTTCCCACTTCCATTCGGGAATGGGCATTCTCTGAAGTGTTCCTCCGGGCCTCTGGTGTTCATACTTTACTTGCTGACAGTTTGGACATTTGGCAATAAAATCAAAAATGTCGCGCTTCATTCTACTCCACCAAAAGTGTTGCTTTAGGTCACGGTACATCTTGGTTGCACCAGGATGTATAGAATATCCGGAATTATGAGCCTCTGTAAGAATAGTATGGATCAAATCATCAACACGAGGCACACATACCCTTCCCTTGATTCTCAAAACACCTTCCTCATCCATTATTGCTTCTTTAGCCTCTCCTCGCAACACCATATCTCGAATTCGGCTTAGTTTCTCATCATCAAACTATTTTCCCTTGATCTTGTCAAGAAAAGAAGATCTCGCCTCCACACTGGCCAAAAATCCTCCCTTCTCATTTACTTCTAACCTCATAAAGTCGTTAGCCAGAGTCTGAACCTCTCTAGCCAATGGACGTCTAGAAACTTGCAAGTGGGCTAGACTTCCCATGCTCCTTGCCTTTCTACTTAAGGCATCTGCCACCACATTAGCCTTTCCCGGATGATACAAGATAGTGATATCGTAGTCCTTCAGTAGTTCCATCCATTTCCTCTGTCTTAAATTCAAATCTTTCTGAGTAAAGACATACTGTAGGCTACGATGATCCGTGTAGACTTCACACTTAACCCCATATAAATAATGTCTCCATTGCTTTAATGCAAACACTACTGCAGCCAACTCCAAATCATGGGTTGGATAATTACGTTCATGCACCTTTAATTGCCTCGAATCATAAGCAATTACATTCTTCTCTTGCATTAGCACTGCACCCAAACAAGAATAGGATGCATCACAATAAACAATGAAGTTCTTACCTTCCACGGGCAAGGTGAGAATTGGTGCAGTAGTCAACAAAGTTTTGAGCTTCTGAAAGCTTTCTTCACACTCGTCCGACCATATATATGGAACATTCTGCTTAGTCAAGTTCGTCAATTGGGAAGCAATGGAAGAGAATCCCTTGACAAATCGACGGTAATAGCTAGCTAAACCAATAAAGCTCCTTATTTTTGAGACATTAGTAGGTATTACCCAATTCTTCAGCGTCTCAATCTTAGAAGGATCCACCATCACTCCATCCTTAGACACCACGTGACCCAAGAAGGACACTGAATCTAGCCAAAACTCACACTTGGAGAATTTGGCATAAAGCTTTTTCTCCTTCAACATTTCCAATACCATTCTCAAATGCTCCTCATGTTCTTTCTTGCTCTTCGAGTATACCAATATATCATCAATAAATATGATCACAAAGAGATCCAGATATGGCTTAAAAATCTCGTTCATCAAGCTCATGAAAGCAGCAAGGGCATTCGTAAGACCAAAAGACATCACTACAAATTCATAATGCCCATACCTGGTCCGAAAAGCAGTCTTTGGCACATCCGTTGCCCGTATTTTCAATTGATGATAACTGGACCTCAAGTCAATCTTAGAGAAGACACAAGCACCTTGTAACTGGTCGAACAAGTTATCAATGCGAGGAATGGGATACTTGTTCTTAATAGTTGCCTTGTTCAACTGCCGGTAGTCTATGCACATCCGAAAACTCCCATCCTTCTTTTTCACAAATAACACCGGAGCACCCCAAGGAGATGCACTAAGCCTTTGCTCAACAACTCTTGAAGTTGGGCCTTTAACTCTCTTAACTCCGCGGGAGCCATTCTATAAGGGGGTATAGAAATGGGGCGAGTGCCCGGTTCAAGATCAATGGAGAAGTCAATATCCCTATCTGGTGGCATACCAGGAAGATCTGCAGGGAACACATCTAAAAACTCATGAACTATCGAAATCGACTCAATTGGAGGTACTTGGGTAGTATCATCCCTGAGATGTGCCAAGAACGCTAAACAACCCGTACTAACCATTCTCTTAGCACGAAGAAAGGAGACGATACGAACCGGATTGGAAGTGTAGTCGCCCTCCCACACTAACGGATCTGTCCCAGGCTTGGCTAACGTCACAGTTTTAGCATTACAATCCAAGATCGCAAAATTCGGAGAAAGCCAAGTCATACCCAGAATCACATCAAAATCAACCATTTTTAAGATAACCAAGTCTACATAAGTATTGCTCCCCACAAAAGTCACCAAACAAGACCTGTATACTTTTTCAACTATCACAAACTCACCCACCGGAGTAGAAACACTAATAGGCATGTCAAGCAATTCACAATGTAAATTAAGACCATTAGCAAATGAGGAAGATACATATGAAAATGTGGATCCAGGATCAAACAATACAGAAGCCATACAATCACAAACCAAAAGATTACCTGTGATAACAGCATCTGATGCCTCCGCTTCCGACCGCCCAGGGAAAGCGTAACAATGGACCCTATCACCAGTCTGTCCGTTGCCTCTAACAGGTTGCGCTGCAGTATTTCCCATTTGTCCGTCACCCCGGCCGTTTTGATGACCACCATTACCTCGGCCACCACGTCCTCCAAAATAATGGCCTCTACCATGACCACCTCTACCTCTAGCTATTGGGGGTCTATAACTCTGTTTGGGACAATTCCTCCTAATATGTCCAGTCTCCCCACATCCATAACACTCTCTAGAGTCAGGCATAGGTCTCTGAGAGAAGTGTTTACCGGTCTGAGGTGGACCCCCAACTACAGTCTGGAGTGAAGACTGAATTGGTCGGACTGAGTAACCTCCTGAACCCTGTCCTCTAGAGTAAGAACCATTAAACTCACCTCTCTTTCGAAACCTTTTTGATGTCGGTCCCATGGTGAAGTCATCTGGCTTCACTCCCTCTACCTCTATCACAAAGTCTACCACTTCTTGAAAAGATTTC